TTGTACACCCCTTGAGGGTTAGGGACCTTATATTGTACGCCCCTTGAGGGTTAGGGACCTTAGATTGTACGCCCCTTGAGGGTTGGGGCCTTAGATTGTACGCCCCTTGAGGGTTAGGGACCTTAGATTGTACGCCCCTTGAGGGTTAGGGACCTTAGATTGTACGCCCCTTGAGGGTTAGGGACCTTAGATTGTACGACCCTTGAGGGTTAGGGACCTTAGATTGTACACCCCTTGAGGGTTAGGGACTGATGTGAATGTACAATATATATGTAAACTGCTGCTTAAATTGACAGCACTATATAAGTACCTGAAATAAATACTAAATAAATATCATGCAACATAGAAAAGTTGGAATTGCCAAAACTTTTTCTCCGGCATCCCTGCTTTCAGAAAATATATACTTTTTGGGGGGGAGTTTACAGTAGGGCAGCACAATGGCTAAATGGTTAGCACTTTCACCTGGCAGTACTCGGGTTATTGGTTCAAATCCCAACCACGGCACCTCCTGCCTGGAGTTTGCATGTTCTCCCTGTGCCTGCGTGGGTTTCCTCAGGGTACTCCAGTTTCCTTCCACACTCCAAAGACATGCTGGTAGGTTAATTGGCTCCTATATAAATTGTTCCTAGTATGTGTATGTATGAATGTGAGTTAGGGACCTTTGTACACCCCTTGAGGGTTAGGGACCTTAGATTGTACGCCCCTTGAGGGTTAGGGCCCTTGGATTGTACGCCCCTTGAGGGTTAGGGCCCTTGGATTGTACGCCCCTTGAGGGTTAGGGACCTTGGATTGTACGCCCCTTGAGGGGTAGGGACTGATGTGAATGTACAATATATATGTAAAGCGCTGCGTAAATTGACAGCTCTATATATGTACCCAAAATAAATAAATAAATTACCTTATTAGTATTCCCAAAAAAGTCACATTTTCCCCCTTGAAAGTAAAAATAATATTTCAACCTTTTTGCCTTTCCTTAAATATATAATTAATAAATCAAACAATATTAAATAAAATAAATTCAAAGTCCCAAAAATATATTTTCAAGTCCAAAATAATCTTTCAATCCTGTGTCTCCAACTTCAATATTTCTATCACTCCGGACCTGGCGAACACCTCGATAAAATAAAACTAAAATAGTGCATTACCTCCGTATACTAGGTGTATACTTTCACAGCTCATAAGTATGTACTAAAATAAGTGCAAAAAACAAAAACAGATTCAACTGTAACAGGTGAATCGTGCAACCACTTTGTGTACACCATTAAATAAATTAACAAATGTGACAAACCGTGTGCACTCCAAAGTAAAAATAAAATAAATTAATAAATAAGTAAATAAATATAAACACTACAACCAAATAACTAAATAAATAATAAAAAATTAAATAAAATAAATAAAATACAATTAAATTAAAATTAAAAAGGTGAACACTTCTATAGGGCAAGAATGGGCAGAAGAAGCCCGGAAGTGACGAAACGCGCCAGGGGACGTAATTGCGCGAAACTGGAAGTGGCGGAGCGGCCATTTTGACTATTGGAAAAACGTGCTGTACATCTTAGGAAGTTGCTGTGGCTGAGTCATGGGAATGCACTACTGATTACTCTTGTCCCTAATGTAAGATACTATTATTAAATCTTTATGGTGCCTATTACATTGTGCTACATGGTTTCTTTCTTTTTTTACATGAGGATGATGGTGGTTTAAAGGCATACCCTATATACAGCTACTGGAGGCTTGATATGAGTGACTGTTAACCACTTGCCGCCCAGCCACTGTAGATATACGGCGGCAGGGCGGCACTCGCAGTCAAAACCACGTTTTAAAACGTGTGTTTTGTAAACAAATAGGGGGTGTGCGCGCCGTTCACCGCCGCAGATGTGAGTCGTCGGGTCACAGCCGTTCCTTAGCGGCTGTTTCCCGGCGATCGGCGGCAAACAGTGACAGACAGCACAGCTGCAGTAGCTGTGCTGTCTGTCACTTCCCTGTCAGCTCGAGGATGAGCTGATCGAGAAAGAACAGTTTCTCTTTCTCGATCAGCCTTGTCCCGCCCAGTACACCCCCCGCCCCGCCCCCTAGTAAAACACTCCTCCTCACTCCTATAACCCTTCCCTGCAAAATAAAGTTAACCCCTTCCTCCCCAGTGCCATTAGTACAGTGTCAGTGTTTTTTTTTTGCACTGATCACTGTATTAGTGTTTTTTGGGGATGTCAGTGACCCCAAGTCAGTACCCCCCAATGTCAGAATGTTCCGCGCGCAGTCCCGCCATAAGTCCCTGATCGCCGCCATAGTTCGCTGATCGCCGCCATTATTAGTCTAAAAAAACCTCCTAAAAATCCCAGTATCTTTCCCGCCATTTGTAAACGCTATACCTTTCACGTAAACCAATTAATTTACACGTATTGAGGTTTTTTTTTAGCAAAGACATGTCCCAGAATGCATTTTGGCAGAAATTTATGACTAAATTTGATTTTTGCCTTTTTTTTTTTTTTACTGGACATGTTTTATAGCAAAAAGTCCAAAATATTGTTTTTTTTTTCCTCAAAATTGTCAGCCTTTTCTTTTATAGCGCAAAAAATTAAAACCGCACAGGCGATCAAATACCACCAAAAGAAAGCTCAATTTGTGGGGGAAAAAAGGATGTAAATGTCATTTATGTACCATATTGCATGACCGCGCAATTGTCCGTTACACTAGCGCAGCGCTGTATAGCAGAAAAATGGTGTAAATTGCAGTATCTATCCCATAGTTTGTATCTCTATAACTTCACACAAAGCAATCAATATACACTTATTGGGATTTTTTTTTACCAAAAACATGGAGCAGAATACATTTTGGCCTAAATTTATAACCAACTTTGAGTTTACTATATATATTTTTTTATAGCTGAAAGTAAAAAATATTGTTTTTCTTCAAAATTTTTTGTCTTTTTTTGTTTATAGCGTGAAAAATAAAAAGCGCACAGGTGATCAAATACCACCGAAAGAAAGCTCTATTTGTGTGAAAAAAAAGGACGTAAATTTCGTTTGGGTGCAGCATTGCAGTTGAATTAGTGCAGCGCCGAGTAGCAAAAAGAGGCGTGGTCATTAAGGGGGGTAAATCCTCTGGAGGGCAAGTGGTTAAACGCCTGAGTATTCCTTCAAGGCTTGATATTACTCTATGAGGGTAATTGTACAGTATGGATTCTTGCCCTATAGAAGTGTTCACCTTTTTAATTTAAATTTATTTATTTATATTTTTTTTATTTTATTGAATTATTTATTTAGTTATTTGGTTGAAGTGTTTATATTTATTTACTTATTTATTTATTAATTTATTTTATTTTTTACTTTGGAGTGCACACGGTTTGTCACATTTGTTAATTTATTTAATGGTGTACACAGAGTGATTGTACGATTCACGTGTTACTCTCAGTTGAATCTGTTTTTGCTTTTTTGCACTTATTTTAGTGCACACTTATGAGCTGTGAAAGTATACACCTATTATACGGAGGTAATGCGCTATTTTAGTTTTATTTTATCGAGGTTTTCACCGGGTCCGGAGTGATAGAAATATTGAAGTTGGAGACACAGGATTGAAAGATTATTTTGGACTTGAAAATATATTTTTGGGACTTTGAATTTATTTTATTTTATATTGTTTGATTTATTAATTATATAGTTAAGGAAAGGAAAAAGGTTGAAATATTTTAGACACCTGTCCATCACACCCATGGCTTCATGCACACAGCTCCTGTATGCTTTCTGACACCCGGAGAGCAACATGTTCCGCATATACTGCCATCAATACAAGTAAATGACTGTAGGTGGCATGTATCTGTGCCAATGCTTGTTTTGGTGTTTAGTCATGCTTGTACTTGCAGCGCTTCTCCTGCAGGAGCCAATTGGCATTTATCCAAGCATGGCCACCTACAGCCATTTACTTGTATTGGCAGCTGTACGTCGCACACACTGTCCATGTGCATGGGGCCTCTATGAACTTGTTGGACATCCCATTGCAAAACCATGGCCATCGAAATGTAGTTGTACCACTTTGTAGCTATAACAGCCTCTCCTCTATTGGGGAGGTCTTCCATTAGACTTTGAATGGTGTCTGTGGGAATTTGTGCCCGCTCAGCCAAAAGTCAAGTCATGCTGGGAGAGAAGACATCAAAGTAGAAGTAGGAGTAATCAAAGGTATATGGAACAAGGTAGCACAGAAACACTGCAGCTGGCATCTCTGATGAAGTCATGTGTTCTGAAGACGCAACCCGTCGGGTGGAGCCGGGTGATGTCATTAAGGAGACCGGAGGCACCAACAGAATTACATGATCTTGATGATATATATTTATATATATTTATACACACACACACATATACATACATATACAGTGCTCAACATAAATGAGTACACCCCAACAGATTTGTCAGAAAACCTTTCCTTTCAGAATCCACATTTTCTATGGGACACTAGACTACACAATCCTCCCACAAATGCCGGCCGTTGATTGCAAACAAGATTTGCACAAAAAATTATTTTTCCTAACAGTTTCATTCAAGACCGTGTTGCAAAAATGAACACATCCCAATGAAAGTCCTAGGAGCAAAGCTACATTTTTGGACAAAAAAAGTCCTAATTAACAAGAATTCAACTTTGAGTGAGTCTAATTATCCATTAAATAGGTGTCCAGCAGACAGGTGATTATTAAAAGGGGCGTCACTTAACAAAAAAACCCCGCCCATTTCATGCTGTCAGCAATGGCACCACATGGAAGAGAAATGTCACAAGGCCTGAAAAAGAAAATAATTTCTTTACACAAGAAAGGTGAAGGCTACAAGAAGATCAGCAAAGCTTTACTTATCAGTCAGAATATTGGAGCAAAAGTGATAAAAAAATATGTAATGCAGATGGAACTGCAACCATCTCACAGAGACATCTAGGCCATCTATGGAAGTTAGCACCTCACCATGAGCATCTTCTGATGAGAAGGGTTGAAGAAAAAGCACCATGCAAGTTCACTGCAGTGAGCTAAAGAAGTAGAAAGCCAAAATGGGATGATTGTTTCCCATGACACAATACAGTGTACACTGCAGAGGAATGGCATGCATGGGTGTCGTCCACGCAGGAAGCCTCTCCTAAAGCCCATGCACAAAAAAGCCCACCTAGAATATGCCAGGGCCCGTGCTGAAAAAGAAGAAGACTACTGGGATCTTTACTCTGGAGTGATGATGAGACCAAGATAAATAAGATAAAATGTTTGTGGAACTGATGGCTTCAAAACTGTACGACATCGCAAAGGTGAAGAGTACAAAGAAAAATGCATGGTGCCTACTGTGAAACATGGTGGTGTGAGTGCCCTTCTGTAGGGCTGCAGTGTATTCACCACGAGGCAACAAGGCGTTGCCTAGGGCGACGACTTTTAGGCGGGCGGCACCGTCCCCCCGGAAGAAAAAGATCTAGTGAGCAGCGGCGGACTGACCCATGCAGGGCTGCCATCAGAGGGGTACTACTGGTTCTCCTGTAGATAGCTTGGACAGCAGGAGGATCGGTATGGAGGGGGAGAGCAGTTGAAGGATGATGCACTGTGTATCTCTCTCTCCAGCAGCTGAAAGCTGGTTTCTTCTCCCCTCTTGCCGGCTTTCTGCTGTGGAGGGAGAGACAGGACCTGGCCAGATTGAGGGGGTGACCTGGTGTTCCTGAGTGGCCGCTGAGTTCCTTCTCCCACTCACACTCAGAGCCAGGACCAGGGGAAAAGCCTGGAGCAGGGAGAGGAAAGAGCCCAGAGGAGGTGAGCTGTATTGTGTTCTCCGGGCTATTCCTTCCTGTTGTCCATGCAGCACAGGAGACAGGATCACTGATAGATCATATGGGACTCTGCACACCCACATTTCCTGCTGCCTGGAGATAAGCAGCCCATGGAGGGAGAGCCCAGAGAACACAATGCCTCTCACCTCCTCCAGGCTCTTTCCGCTCCAGTTTTTCTAGGAAGTGTAATGAGTATTTTTTTTTTCCTGGGGGGGGAGGCGGGGGGTGTTGGTGTTATTTGCTAGGAGGAATGGAGGGGATAAAGAGGGAGAGAGAGAGGGGGGGAGAGGGGGGGAGGGGTGAGAGGGAGAGAGAGAAGGGGGAGAGGGAGAGAGAGAAATGGGGGAGGGAGGGGAGGGAGAGGGGGAGGAGGAGAGAGGAAAGGAGAGAGAGGGAAGTGGAGAGAGAGGGAGAGAGAAAGAGAGGGGGGGGAGGAAGGGAGAGAGAGAAGGAGGAGGAGGAAGAGAGAGAGGAAGATAGAGAGAGAGAGGAGAAGGAGGGGGAGGGAGAGGGGAGAAAGAGGAGGAGAGAGAGAGAGGGAGGGAGGGAGAGGGGGGAGGGAGGAGAGAGAGGGGGAGGGAGAGAGAAATGGGGAGGGAGAGAGAGAGGTGGGGGGGGAGAGAGGGAGGGAGAGAGAGGGGGGGAGGGAAGTAAGAGGGAGGGGGGAAGAGAGGGGGAGAGATAGAGAGGGGGTGAAGAGGGGGAGAGAGAAAGAGGGGGGGAAAATGGGTGAGGGGGAGGGAAAGGGAGGGAGAGAGGGGGGGGGAAAGGGAGGAAGGGAGAGGGATGGGGGGGGGGGGAGAAGGGGGAGGGAGATGGAGAGGGGGGGGAGAGGGATGTAAGAGGGAGGGCGGGGGGGAGAGAGGGGAGAGATAGAGAGGGGGTGAAGAGGAGGAGAGGAGAGGGGGAGGGGAAAAAAACATGGGTGAGGGGGAGGGAAAGGGAGAGAGAGAGGGGGGGAGAGGGGGCAGGGAGAGGGAGGGAGGGCGGAAAGATAGGGAGGGGGGGGGGAGAAGGGGGAGGGAGATGGAGAGAGAGGAGGGGGAGGGGGACGTAGGGAAGATAGAGGGAGGGAGGAGAGGAGGGGGAAGAGAGGAGAGAGAGAGGGGGGGGAGGGAGGAAGAGAGAGAGAATTTTTTTTTAATCTATTATACACACACTTATTGAACTCTCTCCTTCTTCAATGTGGGGGGGGGGGGCGCACCACATTTTTTGTATTGCCTAGGGCAGCACAAAACCTAATTAAACTACTGCTGTGGGGCTGCATGAGTGCTGCTGGTGTCAGGGAGCTGCATTTCATTGATGGTGTCATGAATTCACAGATGTACTGCTCTATATTGAAGAGAAGATGCTGCCATCACTCCGTTCCCTCGGTCGTCGTGGACTTCTCCAGCATGACAATCATCCAAAACAAACATCTAAGGCCACTGTGGCATTTTGAAGAAGAACCGGGTGAAGGTGATTCCATGGCCAAGTCTGATCTGAACCCAATCCAACACCTATGGGGAATTCTGAAGAGACAAGTTGAGCATCACTCTCCATCCAGCATCCAGGCTCTAAAAGTGGTCATTCTTGAAGAATTGAAAAAGATCGATGTTGCAATATGTCACCAACTTGTTCATTCCATGCCTAGAAGACTTGGTGCCGTCCTCACCGATCATGGAGATCATAGAGAATACTAGATGGAGGAGTTTTTGTTGGGGGGCGGATTCATTTTTCCATCAACTAATTTGGGAAAATGGAAGATTTTGTCATCTAAGTTCTATTATGAAACTTCCTTTCATGTAATGAGCCGAAACAAGTGTTCTATAAAACTCAGTTTTGTCAAAGTTCTTGTTCTCGTGTTCATTGAGATATTGATTCAAATCCTACTTTTCAAAAGGGGTGGAGTCATTTATGCTGAGTACTGTATATATATATATATTATAATATGTATATCACAAACATCCTTTTTATCTATGTGACTGCATTTGCGCTTTAATAAAGTAAATCTTAAACCGCGGTTCCTACACTAGAATGGCTTTCTATATGATTTCAGCCTATTCCCAGTTACATGGGAGATGTTTGGCCCCTTAAAGGGGAGACCCGCATTTATTGGTTGAAGTGTTGGGTGATCATGTAAGAACAATGTAAGGGAATAAAGTCACCGATTATAGTGTAGCCCAGGCAAAGCTTACACAATTTCTGACAAGATTCAACAGGCTCTTTTATTTTTACTCTGTAATGATTAAACGATAGCAACCACTTCCAGGGGGATATTTAACCACCAAAAGCAAATTCAAACACTACGACATTATTTCTTATGTATCGTTAGTATTGGTTGATATAATGATAGTTAGTAGAAGACCAGCACATTTGCCAGCAAATATTTATATTTACATTTCCTGCTGCACATTCACCCTTTTTTACAGAGTGGTGAATGTTCACTAAATGGATCTGACGGCTGATGAATGCGAGAACGGAGACAGTGCAGACTGGAACTCCCCATGGTCCTGAAATCATTCTTGTGTCATTTTCAGCATTTGGAGAGTTTATTTTTTTCTTTTTGCTTCCTTAAAGTGTTACTAAACCCCAGACCCCGCATTCACTATATCCGCTCTCCCCAGACCCCGCATTCACTATATCCGCTCTCCCCAGACCCCGCATTCACTATATCCGCTCTCCCTGGACCCCGCATTCACTATATCCGCTCTCCCCGGACCCGCATTCACTATATCCGCTCTCCCAGGACCCTGCATTTACTATATCTGCTCTCCCCGGACCCGCATTCACTATATCCGCTCTCCCCGGACCCGCATTCACTATATCCGCTCTCCCCCCGGACCCCGCATTCACTATATCCGCTCTCCCCGGACCCCGCATTCACTATATCCGCCTCTCCCCGGACCCCGCATTCACTATATCCGCTCTCCCCCCGGACCCCGCATTCACTATATCCGCTCTCCCCGGACCCCGCATTCACTATATCGCTCTCCCCCCCGCATTCAATTACCCCGCATTCACTATATCCACTCTTCCCCGGACCCCGCATTCACTATATCCGCTCTCTTTGGACCCCGCATTCACTATATCCGCTCTCCCCGAACCCTGCTTTCATTATATCCGCTCTCCCCGACCCCGCATTCACTCTATATCCGCTCTCCCCCCAGACCCCGCATTCACTATATCCGCTCTCTCCCCAGACCCCCGCATTCACTATATCCACTCTCCCCAGACCCCGCATTCATTATATCCGCTCTCCCCGGACCCCACATTCACTATATCCGCCCTCCCCAGACCCTGCATTCACTATATCCACTCTCCCCGGACCCTGCATTCACTATATCCGCTCTCCCCTGGACCCCGCATTCACTATATCCGCTCTCCCCTGGACCCCGCATTCACTATATCCGCTCTCCCCTGGACCCCGCATTCACTATATCCCCCTCTCCCGGACCCCGCATTCACTATATCCGCTCTCCCCGGACCCCTCATTCACTATATTCCGCTCTCCCCGGACCCTGCATTCACTATATCCGCTCTCCCCGGACCCCGCATTCACTATATCCGCTCTCCCCGGACCCCGCATTCACTATATCCGCTCTCCCCGGACCCCCCATTTACTATATCCGCTCTCCCCGGACCCCCCCATTCACTATATCCGCTCTCCCCGGACCCCGCATTCACTATATCCGCTCTCCCCGGACCCCACTTCACTATATCCGCTCTCCCCGGACCCCGCATTTACTATAACCGCTCTCCCCGGACCCCGCATTTACTATAAAACCGCTTTCCCCCGGACCCCACATTCACTATATCTGCTCTCCCTGCACCCCACATTCACTATGTTCCCCCTCCCTATGTCCATCACACTCTCTGCCCACATTTGATTCACAGAAGGACTGGTGGCAGAGGTGTTTCCTAGGGTTGGTGTCTCCCGGTGCGGTAACACTTTGTGACATTCCCACCTACGATCCCCACAGAATGGATCCATTCCATTATGCTCAATCCGCAAATCCGATCCATCCTGCGGGGTTCGTCGGCTTTCTTTACAACTTACCTTTTCTTTGAGTGGGTCCGGTGTCACCCCGAATAGGTTGCATGCCGACGATCTTCGCAGGATGGTTCAGATCTGTGGAGTCCGATCCATTATGCTCTCCAATCCGCAGATACCATCCATCTTGTGGGGATCATCGGCTTGCAACCTATATGGGGTAACACCAGACCCACTCCAAGAAAAGGTAAGTTGTAAAGCAAGTCGACAATCCTCGCAGGATGGATGGGATCTGCAGATTGGGGAGGATAATGGATCGCACTCTGATCCATTATGCTCAATCCGCAGATCCGATCCATCCTGCGAGGATTGTCGACTTGCTTTACAACTTACCTTTTTGTGGAGCGGGTCTGGTGTCACCCCATGCAGTCGGTGTCAACCAGTGCGGGCCTCACTCCCCGCACCTGCCTCGGGATGCCACTGACTGGTGGTGCCCCCTTATACACAGCCCTGGAGACATATACACACTATAGAGGGATATGCTTTGTTCATGTTTCATGTCTAAGGTTTACAATCACTTTAAAAAGAAAAGGACCTGCATGAGCACATCTGGAAGTCTGAAAAAAATATATCAGCATTTATTGTCTCTTTTTTCTCTTTTTCCAGTATAATATTGGGGTTTGGGTGGGGGAGGGGAGGCGGAGCCTGACACATGACTTGTAAAGGTGTCAGGTACTAGGTTTGCTTCCCATTGCAAGAAATAAAACTACACCTGTTGATTGGTTGTGTTTATTGATTCAGTTTCTTCTTCAAAGACGGACTTTTCATCACTGGGTCTCTCGCTGTTGTCCGCCTTCGTTATATCACACGCACGCAACGCGATTTAAAAGGCAAATTTCAAAGCCGCGAAATGACAATGCCTCTGGGAGCTTATTTACGGCCAGGGGCGGACTGACAACTCATGGGGCCTCCGGGCAAAAGGGGATCATGGGGCCCCTGTGTCCTTGCTCAAACTCAAAAAAGCCTATGAAAAAGGTACCAGGGGCATCTCATGGGGCCCCCTACCGACCCGGGCCCTCGGGCAGTGCGCAAGTTTCCAAATGGTCAGTCCGCCCCTGTTTACGGCACAGAGCAGCGAGCGTCCCTCTGAAAGTCCCCCGACCACCTCCATGATGTCAAAACATTTCTCCAGAAACTACAACAAAAACCACAAAGCAGAGGCTTCCGACAGGCCGCAGACAATGCGCGGGTTCGCCATTTTATTGTTGGTTATTTCGTTTTTATTATTTTAATTAATTGGAACATTTGGGTGCGTCGGCTGAATTGTTAGAATGAAAATGTTACAATGGATGATGCCCTGGAGAACGAATAAAAATATAACCGGGAGGGTGGAATTCGATTGGAAGTAATAGGAACTAAAGGAACAATACTTAGAGGCCACAACCTTCATATCCCGAACCAGATCTGTGCAATAAAAAAAAAAAGGGGGTGTAAAAATGATTAATGAATCGAAGAACTGTAATAAAAGTGTTGCAACTTTTGTGCACTGCGGAGGGTCTGCTGACATTTTGTGCAAAGTATACCGCGAGCAGGGCTGCTGTTAGAAACCACGGGGCCCCATACAGCCAACCTGAGAGGGCCCCCCCACCAAAAAAAAATATAAAAGTTTACTATGCTTCAGTTATGAATGAACACAGTGAGTGGTCGGTACCGATCACTCATTGTGTTTATTCAGGGCAGGAAGTGGCTGGTAAATGTGACCCTTCCTCCACTCTCCATCCTGGAGGATCCTATTGAGTGCTTGCAGCTGCTGGTGGGTAAGCCGGCAGCACCGTGGGGGCACACAGGAGGGCCTAAGCAGCAGGGGGAAATATATGGTGCACAGGGAAGGGGATCAGCATGACTGGGGGGGCAATTACTGTAACCGATCTCCTGTATGGCTCTCTCTGCAGCCAGCAGGAGGGAGAGGAGAAGAAGCCAGCTTTCAGCTGCTGCAGAGAGACCCATACAGGGGATCGGTTCCAGCAATTGCCCCCCCCCTCCATCATGCCAAATTACCTCCTACCTGCCTACATCTGACTCACCTAGCTACCTGGTTCCCTCCCTGCTGGTCTGGGCCCCCCTGCCCCCCCTGCCCCCCCCTGCCCCAGGAGGGTTGTTGGTACCCCCTTATCCATTGTCCTGACCCGCAAGTGTCATGTAAGAGTTTAAAAATGATTAATGAATCGAAGAACTGTAACTGCAGAGAGACCCATACAGGGGATCAGTTCCAGCAATTGCCCCCCCCCCTCCATCATGCCAAATTACCTCCTTGCCTACATCTGACTCACTAGGTACCTGGGCCCCCCTGCTGGCCTGGGCCCCCCTGCCCCAGGAGGGTTGGTGGTACCCCCTTATCCACTGTCCTGATCACAAGTGTCATATTACTTTGGAGACCACAAAGTATCACTCATGTAGGCAGGTGCAGTCTGTTTCCTCCACTGTAGGTGGTGCTGCAGTTAGGGCCGGTGCTAGACTATTTTGCACCCTAGGCAAGACCAGCTACTTGTGCATCCCCCCCCCCCCCAAAAAAAAAAAAATGAAAAAGTAAAAAAAAACAGTAGAAAACTATGAAATTAACAAAACATGAAACTGATAAATTTCTTTTAATTTGCAAAAATAAGTGTCATAAGATAAATGCCACCAGCCCAAAGGGATCCACAATCTGACAGATCCCAGGATGCAATTCCCCTGGCAATGGGGGGGAGATAAAATGCTGTGACAGCAGGCAGCTGAACTGGGCGATCCCACACAGTGACAGATCTGACACAACACACCACTAGCAGGCACTAGAAGAGCAGGCTGTGGGATGGTGATGATGTCATCACTCACTGACACATTGCACATGTGATGGATGGTCAGCCATACGGGTCACGCTCACACTGACACGAGACATCAGAGTCAGATATTACCTTCATCCACGTCTCCACGAGATGAATGGGAAGAGAAGAATTGGAACTCCATGGTGATCAGCAACCACCAGCTGTACTCAGGGACTGAGTCTAAGAGGAACACTGGAAGGCGCAGCAGCTAAGCTGCTACACTGGCCCCAGACACCCAGCATCTTCCTCTGTCCTTTCTTCCTCCCCTCTGCTTCCCCTCTCGTCATCTGAAGGATCATTCATGACGTGGCGACATCCCACACACTGTTATCACGTACCTGGTGATGGAGGCCGATGGAGAGAGGGCTTCCCTTGCGGCTAAGTTCCGGACTCCCCTGAGAGTGGGACAGTGGGAATCAGGCCCATAGTTGCACAGGTCACCTGTAGGAGTGCTGGTTGGTGGTCCACTCAGAAGCACAGCTGGTGCACGGAGATGGGTCTGCAGACAGGAGGCGCCTGTGCATGGTATGCAAGCCCTTCCGGGATTTAGATGTTTACTGGGTAGTCAGTGCAAGCCAAGGTCAGGTACCAGGTGGGAATCAGAGCGGACGTAGTCAGATGGGATAGCCGTGGTCATACACAGAGGAGCGAGAGAGAGAGAGTATCCGTAAGCCAAGCCGAGAGCTCAGATCAGGGGTAAAGAAGGTCCAGGGGCAAGCCGAGTCGGTATCAGGAAATCACAGGGTCACAACCACAGGAAACAGGAACAAGGCACGGGGAGCTAGAGATCATCCAGCAACCAGAGGAAGTGATGAGCCTCCTTATAAAGGCCGTCTGGCACCAAACTGAGGCTGATGTGTGCTTCTGTGGCCATGCAAGGTACTGGCAGAAATGCCAGATCTTCCAGAACTTCT